GAACGATATTAAAATTGGCATTCGCATGTATCCAGTCTGTTGTATCCGAACTGTCGTGTGATCATTTATATTCTTATAGTATATTAACAGAAATTTACAATATTAACGAAAAAACAAGAGAAGAACATATGAAAAGCGTGTATACTAGAAAAATAAGTACAAGTAATTATAAAATTAAGATTATTTTTCTCTATTTTAATCCATTGGCACTGGGTCCCGTAAACCATAACGCCAGTGTGTACGCGTACGTGTGTGTGTGTGTGTGTGTGTGTGTGTGTGTGTGTGTGTGTGTGTGTGTGTGTGTGTGTGTGTGTGTGTGCGTGTGTGTATGAGTGTGCGCGGCTACGTGTATGCGTGTTTGTGCGAATCTTACGTGCGAAATCTAAGTAATCGCTTCCGTGAATTACATACGATAGTTGCGAATAAATGATTTGCTAATAACATACGCCTCGAGAATTACACATCGATTAGAATCAACTCGGAAAATCAACCCTAATTTGAATTATCTTGATTGCACTCCCGTTCAGTCTCATTCTTTTTCATCACAACTTTGTCAATTAATTAGATTCTAAAAACTTCCTTGAAAATTCGGGAGCGCGACATCAACGTTAATATCACCGTCTCGTCATAATTTCCAATTATGAAATAAAATGGGAATATATACATGTATATATATATAAAATAATGGCGCGATCAGAGTATTCTACCGATTCCAAGATCGCGCGATGACAACGATATTTATCACGTACACTCGCATCTGGAAGCACTGATTTCTCGCGCGCGAACCGACGTTCCCTACTTTTTTTTACAAAAATTGTTGCCGAGCGGCTGAGACACACGTGGAAGATTTTTAAGGACACACGCACAAACATCGTGAACACAATGGCGACATTCGACGCAAATTCCTATTGTCTCTCGAAGAATGACCGAGTTGTTTCCGATAATCGCATCTTCCTCGAATGATCGAGTGGCTAAAAGAATCCACAGATCCCACACATTCCATGGTCCCAAATGTCAAACCCATTATGACCGATGTACAATCGACAGGTGATAATAACATAACAATTGCGTTTCAAATCTCGTAAAAAACGTCGGTAATCCGGTCAAAGGTCCGTATCAATTTTCATCGTATATTTATCGCTGAAAGTGTCCGTCTGATTCAATCATCTCGCATTGACTTTACACGTGGCTTTCGTATTAATTCCTTGAAGCCTGGATTGGCAAATTGCTATGAATTATTTTTGATGATTGTGTACCGCAGCTTTTCTGCTTCCGATATTCTAATAACTGTAAGCGGAAAGAAAAACATAGCTAAATACATCGATTTGAAATCATGGATGACAACGTAAGTAAAACTCTCAAAAGATTACGCACATTTCGATAACTTAAACAAATAAAATCAGACGGCTATATACAGCGTTAAATACGCGCGATAATGATTGTGGATCGATGAATCGAGCAACAGGCTGAAATCACTAGTCCTTTTCAACATTCGATATCGTTTTTCTTTTTGTTTCCTTTCTTTTTTAGCTAGAAACAGCAAAAATTCAAGAAGAAAACGACGCGATTCTGTCAGGATGACCACGCTGTCGATAACCTGATCGATCGCACGACCGTCATGAACAACGTGGAACTTTTTTTTTTTTATTTTAGCGTCTATTAAGCTCGTTTCGTGATGTCTCTTGGCACGTAAGATACGCGCGTGCGCAATCACTTCTATTTCTGCCTACGATGGTAGATGCTCTTGTGGTTGTTCAGACTGTTGAGCGTTCTGAACACCTTGTGGCATAACGCGCAGACCGCGCTGTTCAGGGGTTGAAAGTGCTGCTGCTCTTTATGCCGCTTTAGAGTGAGCTTCGTGGAAAGAGTCTTGCCGCATACGTCGCACGTGTAGCAAATTCCTGGTGGCAGCAGGCTACCGTGTAACGGGTGCGACAGTCGCATCGCGAGAATCGCCGAGGGCGGACCTGAGATCCGTGTGATCGCACATAGACACATATTGATTTTTTTTTTAAGATTTAGATTGTGAGATATTTTTTTCCGTTTGGATGAAAATGTCATTGAAGACATAAAAATGCAAACATGAGAGAGAGAGAGAGAGAGAGAGAGAAAGCAGCGATACAGTTGAGCGTTTTTATAAAGCGATAGGCAAGCAAAACGAAACAGGGAAAAGTTACGTGTGTTGATAAATATAACAGATTAAAAAAAGTGTAGGCGGTACGCAAGTCGATAAATTATATGATAAACAATAGATTTAAAATGTGCGTGAAGAAACGATAAATAAAGATATATGAATACAAATAGATAGTAAATAGATGTAAAATAGAGATAAATAGATGTAAAATAGAGTAAATAGATGTAAAATAAAGAATGACATAAATGCATGATATGAAAACGAGCGTGAGAAAGAGAGAGAGAGAGAGAGAGAGAGAGAGAAAAGATAAAATATGCAAAGATTTTAAAAAGAAAAACAGAATGAGAGAGAAAAAAGAAAGAGAGAAAATGAAATCAAGTACCATAGTCCGTTACATATGCATCGACACCCAATTAAAAAGAAATATTTCCATTACGAACCAATATTTGTGGTGTAGGAGGCACACGGAGAGCCACGTGTGTGGATGGACCCCCAGCGCAAGTCCGTGTTCGTGAAGGTAGCGGGTAGGTACACACAGAACAATGACGAACCAGAGCCAAACGTATAGCCGAGCGAGCGGGACCGGGAACAAACAAGAACAAAGATACGACTGCTATTAATATCACTGGACAAGATTAGTTACGATACGCTGCTAAGTATTTTTGTATGATTAGGGCTAGAGATAGGGTGATATGCCAAGGTGTTAAGGGGCCAAACGTAAGGTTCTCGCTGACAATCAAATTATAGGCAAGTCGGTTGATTGAGGGAAAAGAAGGTTTAAGATGAGGCTTAAGGAAGAACGATTGAGGATTAAATCGGGATCGATCGAGAGCAAGATTGGCAGTGGTATCAAAGGAAATTTCTACTGGATATCCGTCGATATTCTTACTGACAGCCTGTTGAAATGTCCCTGCGAGCCACGTACGTTGCTCGAGTACTTCGTTTCTGCTGCATCTTAATCGCAGAGAGATATAAATGTGGCTCGGAGCTCTGGTTTGTCATTGGTCATGCATAATAAGCGCGATGATCGTAGACCGCCGGAGGAACACGACAGTGCGATTCTCGCGGATTCTCGTACCGTAAAGAAAAAGAGAGAGAAAGAGAGAAAGAAAGAGAAAGAAAGATCTTCGTTGCATTTTAATTATTACATAAGTTATTTTGCAATCGCCTGTTTTATTTCTTCACTTATGGCTGTGTTTAACTAGTTAAGTTTCTATAATAATTATACGAAACACAATATCGAGTGTTACGAAGATTTCGTTCTTCGTGATAAATTCGACAGATCCGAAAATAAAAACTCAAGACGATCGTTACTGTAACCGTTTTGCTGTCATCGCGAAATGAAATGAAAGTAATTATAAAACGACTCGAGTCTCACTATCAATGTAATTCAATATTTGGCTTTGTATCCGATAAATTGTGATTCGATATATTGCTCTTAGAACTAATCAAGAGGAAATCCAGACATACTTAATGAGGAGAGAAATTATACTTCAATGCGTACTTATCGTTATTTAATTTATGATGAAATACCGGATGAAACGGAAACGATATGAGAAAAAGATATTCCAAGCGAGCTTAACAAGCAACGAAATGTCCGCACATACCTTTCTCCGAGCTGTAAAAGTAAACGTGCCACTTTCCTCCGGCATATTAACTGACTTTCGATGGAAAAGGAGTAGTATCTGTGGTGTCAACAGAGGCGATGATGGTAACGGTAACTAATATATATATGTATATATATATAAATATATATATAAAATAATAGTAACGGTCACAGTAGAAAGTGTAATAGTAGAGGCATAGTAGCAGGAGTGACAATAGCAGCAGCAACAATAATATGAAAACTTGCCGATAGAGAAAAATGTTAATGGCGATAACAACTACTACAACACATCAAATAGAAAAGATATGATAATAACATCGGAGATAAAAATATTCTATTTTCATTTATAGACAAGAGAAAGGACGACATATCTAGAAATGAACGTGCCTCTCTCAAAAATGTAACAAATAAAAGTACATTAATACGTTTATACGTGCGCACACGCGCACCTATGTTCAGTGTCGATAAATGTTTATTTTTAGTGATTACAATCTTTTAATGCACATCTTGTTTGCCTACGAACAGCTTCAACAATTTTTTTTTTTTTAATGATGTTCTTTAAAAAGCGATTATATGATCAAGCTAAAACTGTAATTAATAAAAGTACAGAAACACTGTGTAAATGCTAATACATGTGCATGCACAAAGTAAAGCATCAAAACGTGAAACAATCTGAAAAATTATGTCGAATACTTATAATTTACGGATGCTTCTCCTATTTGCACTTTAAGAAATCAATATTAATTCGCTTTTACGCTGTATATTGATTCAAGTAAACCGTTCTAAGATAAAATTAATTTTTAATATATAAATCCTACTCAAATGTGATGGGCGCAAACATTATTTTGCAAAAATCAATGAAAGCTTCTAACAACACATTTATATTTCATTTTCAATTCAATAAATTAGAAATTCAAAATTAAAATTGTAAAAATAATGAAATATTAATTTTCCGTGCGAATGTCGCGGAAGACTTATCAATTCTGCCAGTGGCGCTAAATAAATTAATAGAATTGGTAACGCGTGTGTCGTGATGTAAATATATTTGAAATCCCTGAAAATAAAATCTTACTACTAAATCACAGCGAAGAAACTCTGTCATGGATGAGACACAAAGGAGAGAACGAAGACGCTACGTCAGGAAAAAGGGAAAATTAAGAAGGAGGATGGAAGGAAAAGGATTTATTCAAACAGGTTTTATTCAACTATATAATTGCCTAATTGTCTAAAGGAATGGAGAGTGTATATATTACAAATAAATTAGATATATTAAATAATATTTTATTATCCCGTTTTTGTACCGCACCTTTCTTTATATCGCCACGTAGGACGCTAAACAAAAAAAAAAAAAACAAAATTTGTCTGCAATTATCGTGTGTGTTTGTCACATAAATAATATATAAAAATAACAACAAATCGCGTGGCCCTTGTCGAAAATCGAAGGAGTTATGCCTATCACATAAGTAATCGTTCAGATTCTAATACACACGGACCTTCGGCCCTTCGCTCATTTTGCAACGCTATTTACAGATGATTCTTTCTTTTCATAAAAAATATCAATGCAGCTTTGTGCGCGTGGTCGCTCATCGTGTATTCGAAACGACATATCACCTTTCCGATTACGCATTTTATTTCAAGACGTCGTTCATCCGACCTGCATTTAACATTTAACCCATCGTCATAAACGAAAACTCTATACAGACGACTTTATCGCGAGTGCATCCCTCAGACGGTGGTAGAAAGCTATTCGACATATGTTCGCATTAGAAATCGATTAAATTCGCTTCATCAACGCGATACCGGTTCAAGTAATTCAACTCATTCGTAATTTCTCCGCGTTACTTTGCGATAAGTTGATATTATATACTATAATAGATCACATTAAGTCGCAAAGTACAATTGTATGATCGATCGACTTTTTCGTTTCGCACTTTGCACTGCCTGTCTTTTTGCCAGTGTTCGAATACGATTGTAACAAATAGAGAATCGAGATATTTTTACGTTTCAAATTCGTCGACTTACATATTCCGCTATACGGCGAGAAATAACCTATTTCAATCGCCGCATCAATTTCAAAATTTCGAATCGCGCCGGATTTTAATCCGTATCGATGATAACAGCAACATATACGCTTGTGTCGCATGAACATTCGGTACACCCTCTTCATCAAAAAATTCATGATAGAGGTAGAGAGAGAGAAAGCGAGGGGAACAAATGGCAAGCAATCTCATCCCATTCGCGAATGTTGTTGAGTCTGATGTTGCTGTTGTTGCGCAGAGTAATTTCTGTCGGTGTGCTCTCTCTGGTCTCTCTGCCATTCGCGGGCCTGCGCTACTTCCTTTCTCTGCTGCTCGTTTTTGTTGTGCTGTCGATGGTAGATGCTCTTGTGGTTGCGCAGACTGTTTAGACTGGAGTAAACCCGCTTGCAGATGTTACAGATCGGTTCCTTGCTGGGCCTGGTATGCACGTTCTGTATATGCCGCTTCAACCGCGTTAGGGAGGTCAGGTTTTTGTTGCACGGCTCGCATCGAAACTCATCGCTCGCGCCGCTGCCGGCCAACAGACCTGGCGGCAGAACCAGACACACAGGGGTTACTACTTTTGTAGGGGTTTTTGGCGCACGATACGTCGCACAGACGTCGGACAGGTGGACAAGTAGACATTAGACTGGGGCAGGGGAGGATAGAGATTGAGATAGAGAAAAAGAGAGATAGAGAGAGAGAGAGAGAGAGAGAGAGAAAGAGAGAGGATATCATCCCCAATGTATTTCTTTACTTTGCCCTTTCCTTTTTCTTTTCTTTTTTGGGAGAGGGAAGGTTTTCTTTTCTAGTCGCGGCCTCATCTCTCGCGATCGCACACCACCATTTTACGCTCCTACACCACCGTCACATTTAAGATTACACCACCACAGTTTTCGCAGCTGAGAAAATATCGTGCGCCCGTGTGCTCTCTTTTTTGCCTCTTAATACCTTATTTTGCATCTTTATTAATCGAGCATACGTTGTACCACCGTCACCCGACAAGCCGTGCCCAAACTCGTTTACGTGTTACTTCTTAAAACCACCTTAAGTTATATATGCTTTATGGATGCTGCTACTGTCATTGCTGCTTGCGCCTCATTGCATGATGTAACGATTATCATGAGGGGAATGCCTTCTAACGCACACCGGATGCAACCATTGTCACCGTATACTTCTCGTTTTTTCCTCTTCTTTATTTCTTTTTTAGATTTTTGTATATGGTCTTCTCTGTAAAACCGACTACGTTATCATCTCTTTATCGCAATAATTTAAAGAGTCATATCACCAATGTCATAGTCATTGTTAATCTTGTCGTCGGTGTCAATGTCATGTTCTCAATTTTCTCTTATTCTAATGCCGCTTTGTCGTCATCGTTATTGTAATTGCTAACGTCATCGTCGCAGTTATCTTCCGTTTTCATTTCTTACCAAAAACCAAACGAAACACAATGTAACAAATAAAGATAGAGGTAATTTCCGTGCATCGAAATTCATAAAATCACATGGACTCAATTTATTCGACTAAATTTATTTAGCCATTTTATTTCATCTCACATCTGAACGAATCATCAAGTTTGCCATTTCAATGTAGTTCGATGTGTCCATTATTGTCATGTGATCGATATCTCCTCACCTTTAACCTCATCAATATTAACATTATTATCATCGTTGTATCCTTCTATTAGTCCGATCATTATCATTTGTAATGCGATACAATAAACGGTTTATAACCATCATTATAATGAGTACCGTCATCGTCCTTGTCTTTGTCGTCAATATTCTCCAGCATTATCGCGTTCGTCATTCCTGGCTCTATTATTGCCGCTGTTTTCGTTTACTGCATTTGCGTTCTACAAGTTCTATATTTTTGATTTCTCTTTTTCCGCGATTGATTAAAATTTGTATGAAGAATTTTACACGCGGCTGATCTTTATCAAAACATGATAAAATAAAAGAAGCATAAAAGATTATGTAAAACTGTAGATTATACTAACTTTTGTAGTAACTTATTATTATTATCAAACAATATAAGTGAGAAATGATATAATTTTATATAATAAAAAATTAAGTGCTAAAACATTAAACAAGAAATGCTAATACATGACATAATCTCACATATAGTAATTAATATTTCAAATAGATTTTCAGAGAGAACGATAGGAAATGTCAAATGTTGTATTATTGTAATATCTCAATTTATACGTTTCTCTTTCGCGTATGAACGTTCCAATGATTTTACTCGAATTAACTGTATTTTATACAATCACGTAACAATCGAATTTAAATCTTTACGAAATACACTATCAAAGTGTATTATATTGAATACGATGACAATGGTAATAACCGCGATGCTCTATTCTGGAAGGCTTTTCTGACACGATTTGTTTGCAGCATCTCTCAGTTCATTGTATAACATTTATTTCTTTCAAACGCAATTAGGATAACACAGTGCAAGCAGTTCTAAAGTTCCAGCGAACGATCGTGAGCGATGAAGTTAGTGTTTCATGATCACCAGGTGTGTGTGTGTGTGTGTGTGTGCGCGCGCGCGCGCGTGTGCGCGTGTGTGCGTGTGTGTGTGTGTGTGTGTGTGTGTGTGTGTGTGTGTGTGTGTCAATGTCAATGCATATTATTTACAGCAAAATAGAGCGTAATATCTTATATGTATATAGATATATGTACATGTACGCGTATGAATATGCGCGAGAGAGTGGAAATATGTGCGAGCTGTGTACACAAATGCGATATCTGTTTCTAATGAGGTGATGCGAATGAAGCGTAATGTATTCTATATTTCATGATTAATGGCATTTTCGTAGCCTTGAGTGAAAGAGCTACCAACAGAAGTTCTTTCTTCTCGCGCGATATTTAGGCCGTGAGAGATAGCGCTCGCTCATTAGAAACAACATTTTACTCGTTATTTCTTTCTTTTAATTACTTATCTTCTTTATTTCTCTTCGCTGCTAAGTCGCGACTTATTGCATTATATACGCCGCGTTATAACAATAGATCAGTAGTTTTTTTTTTCTTAAATATAATTACAATTACGCGAATACAGGAACAATGCGATATTTATTTATATCAAAAAACGTAGCTATAACATTTTGTGTAACGTGAGTCTTTATAAAAACGTAACATTTTGTATTTCTCTTTGTATGTAACTAATGAAATGTCACAGATTGTACAACGTCAAATAACGTTTGATTAAAAAACAATCTGATCTATTAAACAGTCAACCAGCATTTTTATAACGACTTCAGCTTTATAATACGTCCAATATCGGGGAATAGATAACAGCAAAACAATTCACACTCTTTTTTCAGTAAACTCTCATTGGATAAACGTCGACTAGTAATATTATTTTATAAGTATGAATATATTAATGAGCGTATCCAAAAACAAATAAAAAAATTTTTTTTAAATCAAGATTCAGAAGAATATATAACTGTAATGAGCCTGATTTTAATATTATAAACTCAAAATAATGCATTCCACACATTTTCATTACCAAAAACTAAACGAAATACTACAATAATATGGTATTACAAATAAACGCCAGAGAGCGTTTCCACGCATTAAAATTCAAACTGTACAAAATCGCATTTCAGTTAGTTTAGCTAAATTTATTTTATTAATTAAGTAATTGTATTCTACGCTAGACAATATTGCGTTTTTGAGGTACCGGTTTATAGATAAGGAATTGCTGATAGTTCTTTTCTTTGGTCTCAAGGTAATCTGCCGAAGGAATAAACGACTAGCAACATTTCGCTCCAATACTGTTGAGATTAATTACAATACATCAGCGGTAGTGTAACATACTACAAGTAGAACACTTTTATACAAAACGGGCAATATCTTCTATTGACAGCCGGTAGACTATAACATCTCTCTCTCCCTCTCTCCTTCCC